GGGCTTCTTGGCCCGTCTTGTGGCCCTCTTGGGCTCGGAGAAGCCCCGTGAACCGCTCGTCCCGGCCGTGCTGCGCTCGTCCCGGACCCCCCCCCCCCTCCAAATCGGCCCTCTTGGGCCGTCTTGGGGACCTCTTGGGCCGTTTTGGGGCCGTCTTGGGCCGTCTGGAGGCCGTCTTGGGGGCCTTTTGGGCCATCTTGGGGCTATCTTTGGGGCCTCTTTGCCTGTCTTGGAGCGTCGGGAAGCCGGAAAGGCGGAAAAGCAAAAACATCGAAAAACACTATGGAAAATCAACAATTTTAGACTCTTGGGGCCCTCTTGGGAGGCTTGTTTGGGACCTCGGGGGCCGTCTTGGAGACCTCTTGGCCCGTCTTGGGGCCATCTTGGGCGTCTTGGAGCGGTCTTTTGGCGTCTCGGGGCCTGCGTGGGCCGTCTTGGAGGCCTCTTGGGGGCTTCTTGGCCCGTCTTGAGGCCCTCTTGGGCTCGGAAAAGCCCCGTGAACCGCTCGTCCCGGCCGTGCTGCGCTCGTCCCGGACCCCCTGCGCTCGTCCCGGACCCCCCCCCCCCTCCAAATCGACCGGACCGGGCTCCCGGGGGAGGGGTTTGGGGAGGGGGAAGCATCTCACACGCCGATGATCCCCAAGGGGTCGGCGGATTATAATTATGATGGTGGTTATGGTGGTGATGGCGATCGCGATCGTTCGGCTGAGGTGATGGTGATGATAATGGTGATGGTCATGGTGCTGATGATGATGCTGATGATGGTGATGTTGGTGACGATGCTGATGGTGGTGGTGATGATGATGATGATGATGATGATGATGATGATGATGATGATGATGGTGGTGGCCATTGTGGTGATGGCGATCGCCATAGTTCGGCTGTGGAGGATGATGATGACGATGCTACTGTTGAGGATGGTGGTGATGACGCTGATGGTAATGGTGAGGATGGGGAGGGTGGTGGTGGTGGTGGTGATGATGATAATGTTGAGGAGGAGGAGGAAGAGGAGGAGGAGGAGGAAAAGAGGAGGGTAGGAAGGAGTGAGGGGTGAGGGAGGATGGGGCGAGGATGGGAGGGATGGAGAGAGGAGGAAGAATAGATTGAGGAGGAAAAGTGGGAGGAGGGAGGAGGGAGGGAGGGAGGGAGGGGAGGGAGGGAGGAGGAGGAGGAGGGAGGAGGAGGAGGCGGAGGAGGAGGAGGAGGAGGAGGAGGAGGAGGGCGAGGACTGGCAGCTGGGCGACAGCGCGCGAGCCGAGAGCCTCCCCAAGGCCGACAGCAAGGCCCAGGACAAACAGCAGGCCGAGGCGGAGGCAAGCCTGAAGGAGCTGGCGGAGACTTCGGCGGCGCCCGAGGCCGAGGCCGAGGAGGAGGAGGAAGAGCTGGGCAAGGAGTCAGGGGTGGAAAAGGTGCCGATGATGCTGCCCCGGCCTCCTGCCCGCCCTCGTGGACCTCCTGGGAGGCCCTCGTGGGCCACGGCTGGATGCGCCTCGAATTTCTGGTCAGAACGCCACCAGGGAGAGGTCCGGGGAGTAGCGATATCGGTGCAGTGGAACCCCATGCCAAGGAACACTTTGCTTTTTTCCCAGGGTGCCCTGGATCTCTTGGGTCTCGATGGTTTTTGCGATGGGAGCCGTGACGCTCCCGCACCGAGAATCAGTATTAGTCGTCTTGGGGTCTCAGGGTTGGGTTTCTCGTGGAAGGTTTCTTGCGGTCGGGTTCCTGCTGTGTCGGTACCTCTTGGCTTCCCCAAGGAGCCGGAGCCCGAGGTGCTCGCGAAGCCGAAGAGGAGGGCCAAGGCCGCCAAGGAGGCCTCGCCGGCTGCGGCCGAGGTCTGCGGCCCGCGGGGAGGGTCGGGGGGCTTCGTGGAGGAGGCATGGGTGGTTCAAAGATAGGGTTAAGTCGGGCCTGTCTCCCTGCAGGGGGAGTATCAACGAAACATTGAAAATACCAAAAAAAAATATTCCAAAAATAGTTTAGGGACTATTTTTTGACATTTTGGTTGCACTTTTGGGTTTTTTATTTTCCGTCGAAAATCCCCCTGTAGGGGGACACGCCCGACATAAAGAATAGGGGTTTTGAGGGCTAGGGTCCTGAGGTCCGCGGACGACATATGTGCACCGCACCGCGTCGGCGTCGTCCCGAGGGGTCGTCGGTCCTCGAGTCAGGAATGGTAGGGTGCATGCTGTACCGGCCCTCGGTGCCAAACGAAGTAAGCGGGGCCTGGACGGAGTCCAGACATGGTTCGGCGGCGAGCGAGGGGGGGGGAAGTGAGAAGGGGAAAGCTTTCTCAGAAGGCGGCGGGACTTCTCAGAAGGTCTCGGGCCTTCTGAGAAGTGTTCCGTGTCTTCGGGGGAGGCTTCGAAAACTTCTCAGAAGGCCGGGACCTTCCAAGTTTTTCTGGGAAGGCCCCCCTTTCGCTCGCCGCCGAATGGTACGATGCATGGGCGCCGTCCTCGTATGAGGACATCGAAGGAGAAAATTCGCCTGGCGAAGGACCCGACCATGCGCAGTTGTGAATACCGCAATTGTGAATACCATCTTCGCCCGCGCCCCCTATGTGGCCACGGTTTCCCGCCGGAGCCTGACATGCTGAGGGACACGTTCGCGGCCGTCTTCACAGGCGCCGACGACGGCGAGGACGGCGTCCCCCTGACCGAAGAGCAGAAGCAGAAGAGGGCTCTGAGAGCCATGAGGGAGACTGCCACTGGCGCCTTCGGTGGAGCCCCGATGGGGCCACGATCCTCGTGAGGGGCGTGCCGACATGGCCCGAGGCCGCCATGCGAACCTTGTCACGGGGGCTTTCGGTGGAGCTCCCTGTGGGGCCACGCTCCCTGTGAGAGGTGTGCCGACATGGCCCGAGGCCGCCATGCGAACCTTGCCACTGGGGCCGTCGGCGGAGCTCCTATGGGGCCGCGATCCTCGCGAGGGGTGTGCCGAAATTTCCCGAGGCCGCCGCGCGAACCCTGCCGGCGGCGCCTTCGGCGGAGCCCCATATAGGGCCACGATCTTCGCGAGGGGTGTGCCGAAATTGCGCGTGGCCGCGTGGCCGCCAGGCGAACCCTGCCACTGGGGCCTTCGGCGTCGCTCCCCATGGGGCCACGATCCTCGCGAAGGGTGCGCCGAAGAGGCCCGAGGCCGCCGCGCGAACCCTGCCACTGGGGCCTTCGTTGCTGCCCGCCGTGGGGCCACGATCCTCGCGAGGGCGCGCCGGAATGGCCCGAGGCCGCCGTGCGGACCCTGCCACCGTGGTCTTCGGTGGAGCCCCCAACGGGTCCGCGATCCTCGTGAGGGGAATACCGAAATAGTCCGTGGCCGCAGTTCGAACCCTGCCAATGGCGCTTTCGGTGGAGCCCCTATGGGGCCACGATCCTCGTGAGGGGTGTGCCGACGTGGCTTGAGGCCGCCACGCGAACCCTGCCACTGGGGCCTTCGGTGGAACTCCTGCGGGGCCACGATCCTCGTGATCGGTGTGCCGAAATGGCCCAAGGCCTCCATGCGAACCCTGCCGCCGGGGCCTTCGGTGGAACTCCCCGTGGGGCCACGCTCCCTGTGAAGGGTGTGCCCAAATGGCTCGAGGCCGCTATGCGAACCCTGCCACTGGCGCTTCCGGTGGAACTCCTACGGGGCCACGCTCCCCGTGAAGGGTGTGCCCAAATGGCTCGAGGCCGCCATGCGAATCCTGCCAAAAACGCTTTCCGGTGGAGCTCCCAATGGGCCACGATCCTCGCGAGGGGTGCGCCGAAATGGCCCGTAGCCGCCACGCGAACCCTGCCACTGGGGCCTTCGGTGGGTGGAATCCCTACGGGGCCACGACCATCGCGAAAGGTGAGCCGAAATGGCCCGAAACCGCCATGCGAACCTTGCCACTGGAGCTGTCGGTGGAGCTCCCTATGGGGCCACGAAGCATTGTACTGGGTGGGTGAAACGCAAGAAGGGAAGAGGAGGGGGGAGGGGGAGGAGGAAGGAAGGAGAGAACGCGGGGACCGTCTCTTCAAAACGAGGACCCAACGCCACAGGATGGTTTGGACAAACTGGCAGAGGCGCCGCCGGACAGGCCCAGGCGCGGATCCAAGAGATCCGCGCGGAGCGGCACGAACTTATGGTTATGCCGTGATTTGTTGTTCTGGGACAGGGATTCGAGGCATGGTGTCCTGAGAAATGGGGTCCTGAAGGATGGGGTTGCACGGACAGGGATGGGGTCCTGAGGGATGGGTTTCAAGGATAGGGTCGCGAGGGATTCGGTGAAGAAACATAACGGCATGAACGCAAACGCTCGGAGTTCCGCGCGCGCCTGCGTCTAGGGATAGGGCCTTCAGGACCGCATCCCTCAGGACCCCATCCTTGAACCACCGAGGGCGGGGCTATTGGGCGGGTTCGCGGACCTGGGTGTTCCCACTTTCTTCTTCCAGGGGCCGTTTCGGGCGATGCTTCTTCAAGAGGGGAAAACAAACAGACACAATTAATCGTCGATTCCAAAGAAAATATTGGAACGAGGGAGATGGGACAGGTACAAGGGAGGGGGAACCTTCGGCACCCAACCGCCCACCCGTCACAAGTCGGGGCCGGGATGCCCCACCCCGCCTGGGAACGCGCGGCCGCGCTGTCGGCGGGGGGGGGTCAGGCGATCGCAACCATGGATTAACGGGGCGTGGATTAGCGACGGGTCCCGTTTCCGTGGGGAATCCTGGATTTCCGCCGCCGCACGAGGCGGCCCCGGCCGCATTTTGTGGAGGGCACCTCCCCCGATCCATGGGCTCGGCGACCGCGCGCCAACTCCCTGGATCGCTGATCCACGTTTGCGCGCCCCCGAGGGAGCCCCTGTTCGGAGGGCACCAACTATACACCAACACCGATCCTGGCCCAGGATCACCCTGGGCCCAGGATCGGTGTATATGCCTTCTTGCGCAAGGCAGGAGGGCGTATACACCGATCCTGGGCCCAGGGTGATCCTGGGCCAGGATCGGTGTTGGTGTATAGTTGGTGCCTTCCTACCCTGTCGCCCCGCCGTTCGCTCCCCCCTCGGAGCCTCCGTGATCGTGCCCCCGTCGCCGTCGCCCTCCGCGTCTGCGGGCGGCGCCGCTGCCCGCCGCCCGCGTGGCGGCGGTGCATCGCCGGCTCCGGCGGGTCGCTGTTGCCCCCCCCCCCCCCCGTGGAGCCGGGCGCGCTCCCCTCTCGCGACCCCGCCTTTGGAGGGCCACATGTTCCCAGACCCCCCCTCGGTAAAAGGAAAAAATCATGACGGGAGGTTTTTTCACAATTTTCAGCCTCTGGGTGCCTCACCGGGCCTCGGAGCGTCCAAAAACGACTCGGATGACAAGCCGGTCCTGGGGAAGGGTCGAGAACTCTGGGGGTCGACGTAATGAAAAATTCATTACGTCGGGGGTCTGGGTTCGGGGGCCACAGGCGAACCCTACCCCTGCACCTACCCCCCACGATTTCCGAGGGGGTATGGGGCAGGGTTCGCATTGTGGCCCCCTGACATGCGAACCCCACCCCCTACCCCCCACGATCTCTGAGGGGGTAGGGGCAGGGTTCGCACGTGGCCCCCTAGCCTCCCCCCCCCCGATCGCGGCGAGGAGCGCCCCCGCCCCCTCCCCCCGCGACCCGCGATCGAGGCGAGGGCGAGCAGGGGGGCGGGGCGGGGGGGGGGGGCCGCTCCTCCAGGCCCTCGGCGACGAGGCTCTCTGCCGACTCCGCGTCGCTGGTTTCTCGGCATCGTTTGGCCGATGCCCATCCCCCGTCCCCATCTCCTTCGAGACCCCCACGAAATTCAGGACGCCTCGCGTATCCCCACCAGCGTTACCTTTTCGGCCTTTTGGCTATGTCCCCAGGGGATCGAAACATGGCATAAACATCAGAACTCGGAGGTCCGCGCGGATTTCTCGGATCCGCGCTGGAGCCCCCTGGCGGCGCCTCTGGCGCCGCCTCTGGCGCCGCCTCTGGCGCCGCCTCTGGCGCCGCCTCTGGCGCGCTCCGCGCGCCAGGGAGGGGGGTCCAGCGTGGATCCAAGGTATCCGCGCGGACCTCCGAGTTTATATGTTTATGTAATTGTTCGTTCCCCTATGGAACGCTCTGAGAGGGCCGCGGCGCTCGAGACATCCTCCAGATCCGCCGGGTCCATGTGCACTCCGGCGTCGGCTTTTGGCCCGCTGGCAATTATCTTGCGTGCTGCCCCATGCTCGATTCGACCCGCTCTCTGGAATCGTCGTTGGAGTCGCAGATAATAATAATAATAATAATAATAATAATAATAAAACACCAGCGGTCAGGTCACCTGCGGCGGCAGCTCGTCTTCAGCTTCGTGGCTGCTTCGTGAGCGGGCCGGCCGGCCTGTGCCTGTGGTAGCTAATTCGCTTCGCCACTGGCCCGGACGTTGCCTTCGCCTCCTGACACTCGTTTCGGGGCCGCTGACCAGAAAAGTATCCCCACCAGTTGTTGTAGCTAACTAGCTTCGCTCGTGCCCCGGACTTTGCTTTCGCCGCCTGACCCTTGTCTCGCGGCCGCGACCGAAAAAATATCCCCACCAGTACACCGAATTCCCTGGCATTTTGCTCTGGGCTGCACGATGCTCGAGCTCCCCTGGGTGCTGTCAGCCAGTCAGCCCTCGCCTTGCTGCCCCAGCGGCCGTCTTGTGAGCCGGCCTTGCCGGCCTGTTCTGCGCCCTGCAGCTAATTGGGTCTGTTTCCGTGCCCCGGACAGCTTCTGTCTCCGCCTGCGCTCTTCGCTCGCGGACGCGACCGAAAAACTATCCCCACCAGCCCGTCCAGAAGTGGGTCCCAGGGGAGTGGAGGTTATGAAGGAAGCGGGGGAGCATGCAGAAGGACGAAGGGCGGGGTGAGCCGCCCTATACCCCAAGAGGGGAGGATGTAGGAGGAGCCGTCGTCGTCGGAGTAGGAGGAGGAGGAAGAGGAGGAGCAGGAGGAGGAACAGGAGCAGGAGGGGCCCCATCCCCTTCGAGACCCCCACGAAATTACCACCCCAATGGGGGATACACCCCTCGAGACCCGAATGGAGTGACCTATATCCCCATCTAGGAGGGTAAATCGGCCAGTGGGGCCCAGGCCGCGCCGCTGGGGATGGGCATCGGTTCAACGATATTCAGTTTCCCCCCCGAGACTCCCCCTTCCCCCTTCTCCTCGCTTGGCATCGCTCAGACGTGTGCGTTTTTGTTCGGCGAGGACCATCGGGGAGCATTTTGGGTCATGTTGCGAGAAAAAACCACGCACGGAATCCAAACATGCACGGGGCATGGGCGTCCGAGCGATGGCAAGCTTGAAGAAGAGAACACGACATAAACGATAATTTTCGAAGGTCCACGCAGATTTCTTGGATCTGCGCTGGTCCCCCTCTGCCAGCGCTTCCGACGCCGCCACCACCGCGCTCCGCGCGCCAGGGAGAGGGGTGCCCAGCGCCGATTCGAGAAGTTCGCGCGGACCGTCAACAGTTTATGCTTATGCCGTGTTTTGTTTCTCTTTCCCTGCCGCCCCCCTCCTTCCCTCCTCCCTCGTTCCCTCTCTCCCTCCTCCCTCGCTCGTTCCCTCGTTCCCCTCCCTCCCTCCTCCCCCGTTCCCTCCCCCCTTCCGCCCTCCTCCCCTCCCTCCCTCCCTCCCTCCCTCCCTCCCTCCCTCCCTCCCCCCCTTCCCCTCCCCCCCTCCCCACTCCGTCGCTCCCCCTCGCGAGGGCGAGGGCGAGGAGGGCAAGAAGCCGAAGAAGGCCAAGGCCGCGAAGGCGACGACGGCCCCCAAGAAGCAGAAGAAGGCCGCCCCGAAGGCCGACGGCGGGGCGGAAGACAAGCAGCAGACCGAGGCGAAGGGGAGCCTCGAGGAGCCTCCTCACTCCTCATTCCCTCCTCCCTCCTCCCTCCCCCTCCCCCTCCTCCTCCCTCCTCCTCCTTCTCCTCCTCTCCTTCTCCTCCTCCTCTTCCTCCATCCCTCCACCTTCTCCTCCTCCTCCTCCCCTCCTCCTCCTCCTCTTCCTCCTCCTCCTCCTCCTCCTCCTCCTCCTCCTCCCCTCCTCCTCCTCCTCCTCCTCCTCCTCCTCCTCGTCCTCCTCATCCTCCTCTTCCTCTTCCTTTTCCCCCTCCCTCCTCCCCACTCCTTCCTCCTTCCTCCTTCCTCCCTCCTGGAGACGGCACCTGGAGCACCATGGGCGAGTCAAGAGGGCCTGGGCCAACATCCAGTGCGAACTGCAGGGCCTGCCGCCGGAGCGCAGATGGGCCTAGGTTAAGGGTGCCATCTCGGCGGTCATCTGCACGCTGCTGACGGCAGGCTGGGAGGCCTTCTCCGCTGTTGAATGGCAGTTTGAAGCAGACGAATTGTGGAGAATGAGCAAAGGACTCGACGAGGTGGACGACGCTGAGCTGCTGGAGGAGGTGGCGGCGGGCATAAAGCGCACGTGGTGGCGCAGCGCGGCGCAGCACCACGCGCGTCAGGGCTTCGAGGATGGCCCCGACTTCCTCCAGGCAAAGAGGCAGCTGGCCCGACTGCAGCGGGACGGCGACCGCAGCACCTGGGCGCTGCAGCTGCAGGTCATGACGGGAGCCTCCTGGACGAGAGCGCGACACCATTGCTGGACATCAGGAGACCCTCCTGCACAGAGTATGGGCGTGTCCGTGCAACCAGGGTCTCCTGGACAAGTCGGTCGAGGGCCATAAGACGATGCCGTGCCTGTGGCTCCGGGAGCTCCCGCCCGCCACCTGGACAAAGTACACGTACCCCGAGGGCGCCGCCGATTTCGTGCGCCGGACGGGCAATTGGGAGGAGGTCGATGCAGCGCGGGCCCGGCGGCTTCCCCGACGTCTTCGGGGACGGCCCGGGGGGCGACCGCAGCTGCGACCCCAGGCTCCGCCGGTGCGGAGTGGGCGTGGCCGTCGTGAGCACCCACAGCGAGTGCGAGGACGACCGCCCGAGGCTCGTGGCGGGGATCGTGGCGGGACTGCCTGGGACCAGGCAGGCGGTCCCGCGGGCAGAGCTGTGGGCCTGCCTCCCGGTGCTGGGGGTGGGCTGCGAGAGGCGACCTGCGCTGCCACACGGACAGCATGCCGCTAGTGATGCGGTGGCGCAGCGGACGGCAGGGGCATGCAATAAGAGACGAGCGCAGACTTGACGGCTGCCAGACGGGCAGCAGCGAGTGGGAGGGATGGATCCAGAGTTCGATGCGTGCTTTCGCACAGTCACCAAGTAGAGGAGCTCACGGTAGACTGCAGGAGATGAGTGCGCCGACATGTTTGTGTTTTCCAGCTGCCGCTGAGGTTTATGAGTAGAGCCACCGCTAAGCCGGAAGTGCGAATCTGGACTGCATGGCTCTCGGCCCAACCAGGTCGAATGCCCAGCCCCGCGGCCCCAGAGCGCGCAAGCAGGCGGTCCTGACCGCCCCGTCGCGCCGCCATCTCGAGCGCGCGGCTGCGACGTGGCATTTTGAGTATGTGAGAGCTCTGCCGTGCGCGCGGACCTGGAGCGGTTCCCGAAGTCGGAGCGCAGGCCGCAGCAGATTGCACATGCTGGCGCGGCGCGCGTGCATCGTCTTGGGGCGGGAGGGCCGTCGTCGTCGAGTCTGAGCGTGGGTGGGAAGACACTGCGCCCGCCGCGCACCCTCTTGCACGCTGATCAGTTAATTCATTATTTATGAACGTTCCTCCTGCGGGGGCTGCATCAGTCTAATGGTATGAACTCTGGCGGAGGAGTGTGACCATAAGACAGCTAAGGGCGAGCGGTCTACCAGGCGAATTGCGCGGGGTTCGTGGCCCCACCCGAAGGGCGTGCCCAAGAGAGCTCAGGGGACCCTGCGCTGGCGGGCTGCCGACCGAGCAATCGCAAGTGCGAGCGGGAATGCGCACGTACACGCGTGAGTGCGTGTATAGCATGCCTGCAAGCCTCAGAATACGATCCCGTACTGTTATTGCCGATATCCTGCCGATCCTTCCTCCCTCGTGCTCCTCGACTCCTCCTCCTCCTCCTCCTCCTCCTCCTTTTCGTCGTCCTCCTCCTCATCCCCCTCCCCCTCCTCCTCCTCCTCCTCCTCCTCCTCCTCCTCCTCCTCCTCCTCCTCCTCCTCCTCTCCTCCTCCTCCCCCTCCCCCCCCCTTTCCCCCTCGCCCCATCCCTGGCCCTGGCGGCCCGAGGAGACTTGCGCGCGGGGGCGACGGCTGCCCCCGAGGCGCCGCGGCCCGCGCTCCCACGCCCCCCCCCCCCCCGAGGCGTTCGCGTTCGGGCGGCCCGCCCGCGACGCGGAGACTCAGATCGCTGCGCCAAGAAGGACGGTGGGGCGATATCACGCAGGAACTTCGCCCGTGCACGGCGATCGGTCTGCAAGGCACGCAGAGCGCGGAGTCGCGTGGATTTGCGCGCCAGCAGGACAGGATAGGCAGATCCCATCGCTTCAGATGGCCACGGGCGCCGGGGACATCGGGGGGACCAACGGGGCTGGGGCCTCTTCTGAATGACAGGCTCGCGCAGGGCCACATGGCCAGGTAGGCTTTTTTCGCCGGAGGGATGGGGGGGGCGCGTCGGCGCTGTCAGATGCAGAGGCAAACGCGTGGATTCCACCTTTGTAGTAGGACATGCGCACGCAGACCCCCATGGATCCCAGAAGGACAGGGAGGCCGCGCGCAAAGAAAAGCAACCACTTTTGGCACGGACTCGCAGCTGATTGAGATTTTTACCAGCACGCACCATTCTTTCGCCCGCGATAGATGCCAACGCTAGCATAGGATTGGTCGAGTCAGCGCTGCATGCAGACAAAGAAGAGTACGACGATGAAAAATTGCAGCGGCAGGTGCGTCCGATTCGCATTTTTGCATTGGGCCGACCTTTTACCGCGGCTCGGGAGATCGCGCGGCGCGGGTTGACTATGCGCGCGCGCCTTCGAGCGCGCTCGCACGCGTGGAAGCGCGCGACGCGCGGGGGGGGCGGGGGGTCGGCCGCAGATCATCGACGCGCGCTTTAGAAGAGACCACTTCCCAGTGATGGGTCCGCTTTCGAGTCGGCCCGGGCTTCGAGTGGAAGCCCCAGGCCGCCGCGGCGCGCGATCGTGATCAGATTTCAAGATGCGCGCGCTTCAGGCAAGTACCCCTTGAGTTCGCGTCGAAGGTAGACGAGTCACTGGAGGCCGCGGCGCCCGAAGTGCAGGATCTTTGCGCCACTGGCGCAGGCGCCGTTTTCCAGGGGGCACACGAGGCGGCGCGAGTGCGCGCCGAGGGGGCCTTCGAGCGAAAGCCGAAGTTGCAGCCCCGCCCATCAGAAGCGAAGCATGCGCTGGAAGCGAGACTAGAGTGCAGATTCGGCCTCAGGCAGTTGCGCGCAGCGCCATTGCCTCCCCCACCTCTTCCTCTGGGCGGGCGAGCTGGGCCGGGAGGTCCGCCGGGGCGGGAAGGGGGTGCGCGGGTTTTGCGGGCTTTCAACGACGCGTGCGAGCCGCGCGCGTGCCTGGCGAGCGCTGCGAGTGAGCGCCAGAAGAGGGGCAAGAACATCCGCGCGAACCTTCGGCGCGGCAGGCCCAGGCAGGCGGGGCAATATGCCGGCGTGCTCGAGGGCGCCGAGAGATGCGGAGACACGGCGCCGCGCTGGTTGCCTTCGAAGCCGCTAGCGAGGAGGGCCGAAGCGGAGAAACTATTGTGCCCCGCGCGTCAAGCTAGAGTGCCAGACGTGGAATATCCCCCTTGAGCTCGCGGGCGATCGGGGTGGTTTCTTGGCGAGGCCCCTCGCTCCGGGGGGGGGGTCAACGCGGGCAAGAGCGAGGCCCTAAGATGGACCTCGCTGCGCAGACCGCTCAGCACGGCATGGGTGATTTCATGGGGGTTCGTGGCCGCGCGAGGCGAGCCGGGCCGCGACGCGCGCCGCCCGCCCAGGCGAGCGTGGCGCTTGCTGACGTGGCCCACTGGGTTTCGACATTTGAAGCCTGTTACGCAGCTGGAAGATGTTTCGGATAGCGACTGGCACTTTCCGAGCATAGACAGATGTTTAACACGGAGTTGTGTGACAATTTGCCACCACGGGGGGCGCTCCCTTGCAGCGGCATCAGAGCCAGGCCATTTTCATTCAACAAGCTGAACGGCAAGAGCGAGTGTAAAGGTCAGAGACGAGTGCATTCGCTCGACGCCCTCGGGCATTCAATGCTTACGAGCGCAGCTGACCGCGAGCGCGCGTTCGGATATTTGAGAGGCAGGAGGAGAGAGGAAGCCATCCTCGCTCAGAGCGCATGTGCCTCGCGCTTGCACGACAGCAGAATAGGTCGATTTACGACGTTGTGCGATGCCACGAACGCTTTTCACAGCGTGCTGCACGAGCACATGCATGCGCGCGCAGACGAGTACTGTGGTGGGTTTGGCGCGAAGCTGTTTAAGCAGGGACTCAGGTTCGCACAGGTGTCGATCGACTGTGCGGATGGAACATTGGTCGTGAGCATCGGGAAGGGGACATTGCCTGTTGGTGCGATTTCGTGCCCGTGGTTCTTGGCGGCGCACAGTCGGCCGCCCGACGTGTTTCGCGAACCGGACGCGCGGGGCATCTGCGTGCAGGTACGTTGGCTTCGGCGCGGCCTGACAGACAGCACAGAGCGCACCTTGACCGGCAGTCCAGACAGTGCATGGACATTTCGCCTTCAAGTCTCTCGGGCGATTTTGCACGGATGTCCGCAGTGGCGGGCGCCGCGCATTGCCGCCTGCGCACGCGGGCTCAGCGTGGCTCGCTCAGCGAGGAGTTGGCAAGCATAGGCGTGGCGCTGAATGGGGACAAGCAAGCATCGCTGGTCCAGTTGGGGGGGGGCGCAGGAGGGCGCGAGGCGATTGCATCGGGGCGGGAACGGGATGGCGGGGGAGGTCAGGAGGGG